GTTCCACTGTACTTACAGTATATTATGCACACATAAAACCTATATACACACACAATTCAGTGCATAAAAACTCAAGCACTGTCATCCCTCTGGGGGAAAAAAAAGCATAATTAAGACTAAGCTGCAGGAGGGAGGAAAGGCAAAACAATCTGGCAATAATCACAGAATTTAGTTCTTTGAAATGTCCATCTTCAAAATGGTGGGTAGGCTAGGAAAGGGCTGTCCTTTCTCCTAACTGTCTCCTCCTCCTCTGGCTGGCGAAACTAGGAGAAATTATGTAAATAGGAAAAGTTTTGGAATTACATAGAACATGAGAAATCACACGTGGTATGTCCCAGCAATAAGGTGGCAAAATACCTGTGATCTAGAACATCCATGGAAGAGAAGAGTCACCTACTCCTTGTGCTTTGCTCCACAGAGTCCTCTGAACTCCAGCCTACTAAGCCAGTGTCCTTCTTCAAGGGTTTGAAGTTGGTGATGAAACATGGACCCTACATCAAGCTGATTGCGGCTTTCCTGTTCACCTCCCTAGGTTTCATGGTGAGAAAACAGTCAGTCTTCCTCATGACCCCTTCTAGGCATCTTCCTCAGGCTTCCATCTGTGTGATTTTTTTTTTAAACTAGAGCAAAAATTGAACACACATCCACCCAGAGCTTGAACCCACCCAGAACACCTTTGCTAAAGTATCTTAAGTGCTTCCTAAAGAGGCCCCAATCCCAAATCTTTCTCCTAAATGTTTAACCTAGAAATGTCCCCATGAGGACCAAGCTCGCATTTATAAACGCATTTTGCTTGTCTGATCCTTGGACAAAGTTGAAGGACCCTACATGTTCCAAATGCCAGATGCTTTCTAAGAATGCCCACAGCCTCAACATTTTTGAGAATGTACTGCCCCAACAGCAGCAATGATGCTGAGGTTGCTGTTCAGCTGAATACTTCTGCTCTGTTTTTTGCTTCCGCTTCAACAATGAACAATGAATTCCACTCCCATCCTTCAAACCTCGGGGAATGTAATGAATATTCGTAGCCCCTACCTTTTCCCTTCTCTGGGACAATTATCCAGTAGCCTGCTCTTTTTGAAGTTGCCATCTTTTTTTAAAAAAATCTCCATGTACAGTATATGGATTTTCCATTTATTTTTTGCAATTCTCCAAGAGCACAGAAACTTGGGGGTAAATGGCAGACACTGGTTTTGTGAAAATTGGGACAAATAACTCTGTTAAGCTTCGTTTGGGCTTAACATCATTACTTTGAATGAACCGCCCCTACCTTAGCTTGGTGTAGAAGTCTTGCAGTTATCCTGAGGAATCAGATCTTTCTTTCCAAAATACTCCTGCTTTTTCCCACTGACACCTCTTGTTTCTTCCCAGCTCTTGGAAGGCAACTTTGCCTTGTTCTGCACATACACCCTTGGATTCCGCAATGAGTTCCAGAACATTCTGCTCGCCATCATGGTACGTGTTCTGCAGGGTATGCGATGACCCACCCACCTCCCTCCCTCCCTCCCTCTCCCATTTTCTACATGGGCTCAACTCTCTCTGGCATGAAGGGTGGGAGTTAGGAGGGAGGTTGGCTGGTTGGTCCAGATTCTCCTCAGTTATAAGCTTCCAAAGAGAGCTGGAGAATCCACTTTCTTAGTTCATCCACCACATCCACCACCAGAGGAGGGCAGGTGTTTCCTGGCAAGGCATCGCCCGAGATGCCAGTGCTGGGCTGTTGAGTAGTCAGGTTAAGAGTGTTGTGTGAATGCACCCAGAAGTCTTTCAGTTGTCAGTCTGCAAGGGAACTGGAGGACGTTAAGGGGAAGGCAACCTTAAAGAAGGCTAGCCTAGGCAGTTAACCCTGTTCTTGAAAAGACAGAGTCAGTGATTGCAAACAAGGCTTTCTTTGTGTGTCTTTAGAGCTGGCCTGAAAAGAGACGAAAAACAAAAACCATGCTCGTCTTTTGCCCAAAACCTGCCATTTTATTCCCTGCCGGCCCTTAACCATGAGAAAAAACGGAGGCTTGAGTGTTTATCAGGGAGAGACTCTGAATGAAAGCTTTGGAGCCAATTTGTCTGAGAAGGTCTTTCCAGGCTGATGAATGGGAGGAGGTGGGAAAGGAGAGATCAGACTCTGCCAAGCCAGAAAGGGGTAGACGCCCCCCTCCCTTTCCATGTACTGAGGAAATTAGCCTGTTGGGGGGATCTGCCGAGTGCACTGGATCATAAACTAATCAAACAGTCTGGGGGAGTCCAATATCCAAAGCCATCAACACATAAAACATGCCAAAAAACCACAAACTTTGCAAATCATCTCAAGTGATGACTCTGAACCATAGCTGATGGTGGATACCAGCCTTAAGACTGCAAACTCTCACCCATAATCTCCAAGCTTTACCGAGTCAATTACGAATCTAGGATCTGCCTATGCAAAATCTGTGAAGTTTGTTTTGAGCTTGCTTTGGGTTTTTGACGGGTTTAGATACTGCATTTGCCCAGCCTCTTTGATTAATGTATGGCCCAGTGCATTCTGCAGATCCTCAAAGTAGGTTTAACTCAAGAAACCGGCTCGGGGGGGTTGTTGGAACACTGCCAGCATGTACTGTACCTACGTGCCTCTTATGCACAAGCAGCGAGGGATGTCAGTGAAGGGGAAGCAACGTGGGATGTATGAGCACTGATGTGTTCCAACTGCTATTAATGTTTGTCATACTCCTCATTCCAACTGGTTCCCTAACTGGGTTAAGTGTGTTGTGTGAAAAATGCTCCAGACTGAAAACGTGCAGCATAAACCGTGATGACCACTCATATCCTCTGTTGTATGCCACCACCAAGCCTGCTCTTGATTCCCAGAGCAGGAATGTTTTCCTGCACCCCCTTCCTATTCCTGAGCATCTGGACAAGTACTGTTAATTAGGCAGCCTTACCTGCAGCAAAAACACACTTTCAGAGCAGACTTCAGATTTCTTTAATGGCGGCCAATGGAGTTAAGTCTTAAGTCTGGCCCGGTGGTTGTGTTGAAGACACACTAGCTTTAAGATTTGAAGTATCTAGCTGGCGATTTAGGGCCCTGCACTGATGCTGTTTCTCGCTTGAGACCCATCCTGCCTAGTTCTTTACATCGCAGGACAATTGCAAAGAAATGTAGAAGCTATGAAATGCTTTCTAGAGGGTCCAAACTGCATTTAAATGTCAGTGCGCATAAAGCTAGTTTGGTGATGTGTTTAGGAAGTGCATTAGGTGGGAAAGCTAAAGCTTCAAAACAAAAAAAGTAATTTGAGAGTCTTTTCCCTGCAGATAATTTAAACAGGTAGCTTAATCCTAATGAGTTGTAATTACTGGTTATCTCTGGCATTCTGATGTTTCAGTTGTAACAAGCACCAGTTCAAAAGATCCTGTGCCTTACTGAAACAAGATCCACAATAAATAACAATCATTGCTAGTAGTAGCGATAGCATTGCTGTTGTTACTATTTTGCTAGTATTATTATTCCAACAAAAGTGCCAGGTTTCTTTTGGAATTCTTACAAGTTTTGAGTAAAGTCTCTTCACAAAGGAATCATACCGTGCCCAGAAGAAGGGGAAATAAGGGGCAGAAAAAAAGTGACAGTCCAAACTTATGGCATGGCATGGTTTTACATCTAAGGGCTGGTTTGTGGAACCATTCCTATAAACGCTGCAGAAAATATCAGAGCAGCAAATATGTTACACACATTTGCACGTATATGATGTAATTTAACATACATAAGCTTTATATACAGAATTAGTCTATTCCCACAGCATTGGCTCTGAATGTAAGATCTTCTCTAGAATGTCAAACAAAAGCCACATTCTTCTAAGATGGTTAAGCTGAAATGGGCTCAGCAGGGTCCTGTTCACACGTGCTGTGTCTTGAATTATAATCCTTGATTTTGATCAGCAATTACATTTTCCACCGCCGTTGTAATAGCACGTCCTTTTTTTAGCCACTAGTTTGGATTCCCAGTTGTGTTTTCTCTCGCTTGGACAGTCCCTTCGGGCCAAACCTTTTCCAGCCAAATCTGCTAGCAAACCCAAACCCATCCCAGAAAACAGAGAATGTAAAAAGGAAGCTTGTCCCTCCAAGGTGGTGGTAGTAATACCGCTGTGCATCTTCAGAAATAGATCAGAACAGAAACAGTGGGGTGTAGAAAGGACTAAAAAAAACACCCATAAACGGCTAGTTTCTCTTCTGCTTTTTATTTCAAATGCGGAGTGTTACCACTCCAGGATTCCATTTCCCCCGTTAAAAGAAAATCTCCCCATTGGGAGTAGACCAGAATGTCACAAAAGAGCGAGGTGAAATGCTGGTTTTCTGTATGCAAAGCTGCGGCCGCCTTCCCATCTGAACGCTTCCTGTCCAGAATTCTGAGATGCCATTAATATGGAGAACAGCCTTGGGGCACAGCCAAGTTGAGTGGGAATAGAAACTTCAAAGCAGCCATGTTTAGCTCACTCCTATGGAGGTCAGTGGCTAAACTTTATATTTAGGAAGTCTGGTCATGAATGGAAGAGAAGCTGTTGGGGAAAGTTTAAGCTGTTTCAGTCAAAGAGCCCCCCTTCCCCGGAAGATTAAGAATTTGTCTGGGCCACAGCAGCAGGAGAATGAAAAGACCTGGTCTGTCATCAGAAGCGGTCTTGCATTATTCAAAGAGTCGATGGCAAATCTCTTCTTGCACTTTCCTTTTTTCTTTTTTCTTTCCTGGACATGCTTCCAAACAAAGCTCTGGTTCGCGAACAGCTGCTATTTATATTTTCTAAGAATGCTAATGTTGGTCCAAGGGCATTATTGAATATAAAGATGACGCTAGACTGGAGGGGGGAGCTTTGATTTGAAGCATGCCAATTTCTCTTTTTCTTCTACCTCCGAAAAAACTTTTCACAAACAGCAGGTGGAGCGGGGGGGCTGGCAGGCACAAAGAGAGGCTGGAATAGATGAATGTCTAGAAGGCCCATGTTGCTTTCCTCTGCAGTCTACAGCCCTCGTTGCTTTTTCATAGGGGGTATAAAGCACATTCTCCCTGTGTTCACATAACACGCTTAATTAACCTAGTTACTGAATTAGCCCATTTCCTGAGTTGCCACGACACACTGAACTTAAACTAACCAAAGAGACTCAACATTCAAAGCCACGAGAAAAACTGACTAAGGGGAAAACTAACCATGAATCTCTGGCTCCCTTGTGTCATCTAGCTTAAATTCCTTCTTTGGAATCAAAACCTTCTGCCAGTCTAGTTTTTCTTCTTTTTGACTTAGTAGGAAAAGAGGGCAGATTATTTTATTGTTATAAGGACATTTCTGACCAGGCTAGGTCAAAGAGTTTAGGGAGAATGAGCCTCCCAAGGGTGTGGGAAGGTTAACATTAGTCTATTCATTGGGGAGAACCTGCTTCCTTGGGTGTGTCTGTGTTTTGTAGTTAATTGTTTTATTGTATTATAAGTCTCAAATAATATGTTACAGAATACAGATAGTAGCTGGGTATAGCAATATTTGTACACTATAAACTAGAAATTGTTAACAGTGTACTAATTTAAATAACTTAAACCTTTAAAGATAAGGAGAAAAAGAGTTTATATCAGTGTTAACTATAATTCTGAGATGTTAATGAACCTAAGGTTGCTTGCATTGTACAATTGAAACTAAGTGTGGCGTTGATAGCCTTTTCCAAAATGCATTGAATTATTTTGTTATACAATAAGGATTTGCATCTTGAGCTTGATACTTAATACTGAGGTCACCACTGTATTGTTATTTATTGTTGTTTATGAATATTAAAAAGAGAAAAAAAAAGAATTAAAGAGAAAAAGAAAGGGAAAGGGAAAAATGGCTGGAAAAATAGATAACTTCCCCTTTATTTTTTTTATTTTTTTTATTTTTTTATTTATTTTTGGTGCCTTTGAGTCAGTTTTTGACTCCTGGCGACTGCCTGGACAAATCCCTGCGGTTTTCTTGGTAAGATTTTCAGAAGTGGTTGGCCATTGCCTCCTTCCTAGGGCTGAGAGAGGGGGACTGGCCCAAGGACACGCAGTTGCCTTTGGGACTGGAACTCACAGTCTCCAGTTTCTCACCTGATGCCTTAATCGGTACACCAAACCGGCTCTCTCCCTTTCTTTATACTCCAGCTGATTTATAAACATGGGACTGAAGGCTTGCGGAAAATATAGGCAGTTAAAACATAGTTGGAAAGAGTTTCCACTTCTTGCACATTTTTATGTGTGAAGCATGACTGCAATCCATGTACACAAAAAACGATGGGCGTTGCTCCAAGATAATTAGAGCAGCAGATTTTCCACAGATGACATTTTAGGCTGCCACAAAATCCATTGCAAAGTCGTCTTCTGGTTGACTCAAGTAACAGACCTTCTTTCCTTTCTGTTTCGTTGCTGTCTTGCAGCTCTCAGCCACATTGACCATCCCCTTCTGGCAGTGGTTTCTTACTCGATTTGGGAAGAAAACTGCTGTTTACACTGGCATCTCGGTGAGTGAATAGTGGGGAACTAAAGCAGCCCTATTCTGTGCCTAGGTAGCTTCTGAATGAGGACTCCGTGAAAACCATTCAAATAAAACACATGCTGAAATGATGGGCAAGCCTCATCCAGGGCTATTCATGGCGCAGCAGGAACTGAAAGTTTCTTCTGGAAACATCAGTTTTTGGACAGGGCTAAGACCAGCTGGCAGGACCATCCTGGTCCCACATGTGTCCTGTTTATGTTTTCAGAGAACAAATCCTGAGGGCCTGGCTGTGACAATTTTGGACATGATGGGGTTGAACTGTGTGCCCATACCTTTCTTTTGGTGGACCCCATAGCCTTGCTTGCACACCAGGCTAAGAGATAATGTGGTTTGTTTCATTTTGTAGGTCTTAGTAGTATGTGTGAACCCAGCTGTGCTATACATAATTGTGGTTTAGAATGATGTATGAAACCAGCCAATTGTGGCTTATTCAGTGAACCATGAACGTCCAAATATGATTTAGCATGATGCATGAATCAGTTCAAAGTCTACTATCTGAGTCAAGTTAAATTTTGCTATTTAAAGTAACTAATAGACCGACAGACATTTTGAGAAGTTTCTTCTCAACCCATGGTTGTATCTGAGCAAGTATAGCCACAACTGCTCTTAACTATAGCTAGGTTCTCATTGGCAGCCATGGTCTAGAGAGGGAAGCAGCATATGAACTAGAAAAAAAAGAAGAGATCTTCAAGTCTCCCTTGATGATCAAGCCATTCTCAGCTCTCGGCCTAGCAGGACTTTCCTTGTGCTCAAAGTCCCATTTCTACTAGGATGTGTTATGGTACAAAGTTACATAAGTTCACTCCAGTTTTAAACAAAATAATCTTCTTGACCACCTCTTCTCTTCTCATTCTTCAGTCTGCTACGCCTTTCCTCATCTTGGTTGTGATTTTGAAAAGTAACCTCATTGTTACCTATGTGGTGGCCATTGCAGCTGGAATGAGTGTGGCGGCTGCTTTCCTCTTGCCTTGGTGAGTTTATTTCCTAGTACGTTTGTCTGGTTTCAGAACTCCTATAATACTATATTGCAACTTCCGACGCCTATGATGCAGATGTGGGGAGGAAATGACAGGGTTCCTTCTGAACATGTTTTTCTGGTCCTCTACGCCTGCCTGCTTTCCTATTTAGCTTTTTATGCCTCCATCCCTACTGATGCAGATGACCAGCATTTAACTTCTGGTGTAGCTCGTGAGACTTTCCTATTCTGGGCAGAACATTTTTTACATAAAGGATCTAAAGATAGGGAGACACTAGTATAAAGATGGTAACATAAAGGCAGTAGCAGATCTTCAGGATTAATCCCAGGTTTTCTAAAAGTTGGATTTTCACGAAGTGCAGAGCCTTTTAAAGGTACAAGTGAGGAGATCCTGCTAAGGTGCCCCAAAGTAACATCCGCTCCGTTCTTCTTTCTTTTTCAAACAAATGCCCAACTTTTGAAGGAGGTAGAACTGCCTTTCAGTAGCATTCTGGAACTCCAAAAAAGAGGCATCAACAGGTTTAAAAATCAGACAGGACCAGAATAAAAATTAGATTGGATTGAACTGTATTTAAAATTGTAGTTATGGACACAACCCAATTTGTCCTTGTGACACCTCTACTTCAGGAGCTGCACTGATTGCCAGTTAGCTTTTGGGTGCAATTCAAGGTGTTGATTGTCACCCTTAAAGTCCTATGTAGTTCAGGACCTGGGTATCCTTGGGGTGGCCTGTATGAAGACAGCTGAAACGCTCGCTCAGGTTGTAATCCCCAGAGATGGTTGTTAGCAGGAATCACAGGACAGGACACTTCCATTCCTGTCCCCCTTCTCCAGAACAGCATCCAAAAGAGGTCAAGGATCACCCCTGGAGATCAGAGTAGCCCCAACCCTGTTAGGATTTTGGAAGGCCATTAAGACTTGTCTCTTCCAAAGAGCCTTTGGGAATGATGTGGATTTTGGTTCCCCCTGGATATGTGGCATCTGTTGATTGTTGGGTATTCGATTTGCCAGTTGGTTGATATATTTTAACCCTATTACTACATATTGAAATATAAGCTGCTCAGTCATTTTTGACTAGAAAGAAAAAGAAAAGAATAGAATTCTGAAGCAATTAAAAACAATTAAGATAATCACTCCCCCTATGATTTCCCTTTTTCTCACATTAAAAAAAAATAGTTTGGTGGCAGCTTTTGGGAAGGATCTGATTCCTGCCTTGTTCTTTTGTGCATCTCCTTGTGGCTGAACTGATTAGTTACCTTCTGTCTTGTCTCCTTTGATTAGGTCTATGTTGCCAGATGTTGTTGATGACTTCAACCTCCAGCATCCAGATTCCAGAGGCCACGAAGCTATTTTCTTCTCTTTCTATGTCTTCTTCACCAAGTTTGCTTCTGGAGTGTCTCTGGGGATCTCCACCCTCAGTTTAGAGTAAGGTTTCACCATCACCCTATTTGCTAATAGAATTCAGTATCCCGGGTGTTTTGGGATCTAGGAATCCCAATCATCTGGAAGTGTCTGTCTTTTCAAAAGAAATCTCTCTACTGACATGTCTGGTCGTCAGTTATTTACAGTTGAAACACAAGTTGCTAGTAAATTAGAAGGACTCCAAGAAACTAGGACAGGTTCTGAGAAGAGTATTGGGAAGGCCCAAGAGGAGAAATTGGGGGAACCAGATTTGTTTACCATTGGGAAAAAAACTAAGGAAGGGTATGACAGCAGGGTTGCCCCATGGAAGGAGACTGTAGTGCAGCACCCAGAATAATGGTCATCAGTTCAGAACGGCAGACTCCAGCTGAATGCTAGGAAAAGCTCCCTAACAGTAAAAATTAGTAACCAGTTCCCAAAGAAAAGAATGATCTGTCCATTCCTCAATGTCTTCAAGCAGAAACTGAATAGCCATTTGTCAGGGGTGATTTAAATTGGATTCCTGCTCTGAGCAGAGGTTTGGGGTTGACCGCCTAGGATCTATAATACTATTGGAATCTAGACTTGCAAGACTTGGGTTCATGTTGCCATGATTCTTACTCACTGGTGAATTGTTCATGGCTGTTTATTCCATCTTGATTTTAATTTCTTGTCTCTAAACTTGAAGTAGTGCCATAATTCACTTGGTTGTTTGGATGGATAATTGTCCTAGCAGGTCTCTGCCTACTTCTGGCTGAAACATAATGATTCATTGTATGTCCAGTCATGAAACTATTACCCCAAGAAAAAACTCTGAGTTTAAACTCTAATACAGCTTTTTCCCCTTGGAGACAACTTGTATCACTGCTCTTCCTCTTGCATTGTTTATTCTAATTTTGTTACCGCCATGAAGTGCTCAGAACCCCAACCTCCTGTAACTTCATTCAAACCCTCTGCTTAATTTCTTGCAGCTTTGCAGGATACAAAACTCGAGGCTGCTCCCAACCAGAGGAGGTGAACCTGACCTTGAAAATGCTTGTGTCTGCTGCGCCAGTGGTATTGATCGTCTTTGGGCTGCTCCTTTTTAAGCTGTACCCCATTGATGAGGATAGGCGGAGAAAAAACAAGAAAGCTCTGCAGGATTTAAGGTGAGCAGTCTGCCACAGGCAACCAGAGAGGAGGGAAGAAGGTATCTCCTCAAGATGAGCACCTGACAAAGAGGGAAGGTGGGCTGGGCTTTGCCTTTCATGAGCTAGCAGGTTGGATGTCCACAGGGGAGCAAAGGACATTACTCATCGTATTTTAACACAAACATCAAGAAAGATATATCACTCATTGTGCGATGATGTCATCACTCATTGTGCAATGATGTCCCTTTATGACTTCTACCAACCACCTGTGGCTGGCACAGTGAGCAGGAATGCCATTCATTCAGGATCCATTGCCACAGGTCCTCCCTCTCACTTATCCCTTTGTACCATGATGGCATGATTTTTTTGACTGGGCAGATGTAGGACTCTTAGAAGCTGTACTCTGGCTCAGTTCACACAGTACCCTAAGCCATGATTGTTCTGAATCATGGTAAACCGAATAGACACAATTGGCTGAGTTCATCCAGGTTCTTGTAGAAGCAGCTAGGCAAGTTTGGCAGTAGTTCTTGTTCTCCGTGTGCTCTCATGAGATTTCTTTTAATAAAAAAAATTCTTTAAAAATTGGGCGCCCAGGACATGGAATGAAATTGATGGTGTCTTTGCCTGTAAAGCTTGCTCCTTTCCCTTAGTGTATTGTGTGAACCAAGCCTGCCTCCTGAAGCTGCAGTGAAGCATGGTGTGAACATTGTGTGCTTTGTTCTGACGGGTGGAGGCAAGAACACTTTTCTGGGTGCCCCATTCCCAGGGGCTGAAATCTCATGAGAAGTTGTCAGTCTTGCACAAGACCACGTGACATGTTGTGATCATGTGACAACTTTTATTTACTCATTTAGGGGGAAAGGAGGGAGCTGGGGTGACCTCTTGGATGCATTAACTACATCACAGTTGCAGAATTTCAAGGGAATTCTTGATATAGATAGATAGATAGATAGATAGATAGATAGATAGATAGATAGATAGATAGATAGATAGATAGATCTCCTCCTCCTCCTCCTCCTCCTCCTCCTTATGGATAGCAATTGAAGTCCTGAACCCCAGGACTTCTGTCCCAAAACATCCTTGTAACTTAATTGCTAGAACTTAAAATAGAGCTGATGCTTCTGGCTCTGAGACAGATGGAAATCTCATTTCTCTGATGTAGCACTTTTGCACAAGAAGTGCACTAAATATAAAATGCTGAGTGTTCACATATCTTAGTTTTGCAAACAGAAGTCTTGCATGGCTCTCTGATGGCTTTCAGCCCACTTCATACTAGACTTCTGGCATCTTTCAAATTTGTGCAGTTGTCATTGAATTGTGAGTACCTGTCTATTGAGAAGAGTAGGGAGAGTTCCTATATAGTTCCACCTTGTTCAGACATGGGTGGCCTGTGAGTGACCTTGGGCTACCAACCTGATTCTATAGTTGAGCTCACCCTTCCTTAGATAGTCTTGCTGATACTACTACTGGCACAAAAGGGATCCCCAGTTTTAGCTTGGTCTTATATTACACACTATCGTCCTTCTCTTTCCCCAAAACTGACTTGGATCACATGCTGCATCATGGAATAAGCCATAGTTTGTTTAGTCATCTTTTGTAGAATAAACCAGAGTTGGCTGGTCAAAACCAAGGCGACCACATGATGGTATAAGGCAACATGTGAACCCAGTCCCTGAATCTCTGCTAAAGAGAAAGTTCTCCTACTAAAATGTGGTGCTTCTTTTCTATACTTTGCCTTTTCCAGAGATGAAGAGAGCAACAGTAGCACAGAGTCAGATTCTACAGAATTAGCCAGCATTGTGTGACCCCATCTTGTCTTGGTTTATCCCCGGGATCCTGAGAAGATGGGACCGCCATGACATCTACTGTGAAGGAGGGACGCTGATTTACTCCCATGGGGGAGTACCTGTGAAGCCTTAAAGACTGCCCTGGAAATCAAACATTGGTCGACATTGAGCCTGAAGTGGGATCCGTGGATCACTAGCTGTCAAACATACTTGACCATTTGGGCACTCTAAGAAGATACCTCTAGTGAGAATAAGCATCATCTCAGTGTGTCTTTTGCCAGAATCAGTTCACAAAATTCTCTTGAATTATGATATACTTTAGACAGATGTAATTTATCACTAATCTACCCATTGAATTGGTGCAAATCTCTAAAGTACTGTTAAATGTATTTTGGTATGTTTTTGTACTCAATATTGCATTATATATTATATTATCATGGACCCAGGTGGTGCTTTCTTGGTGTATATTACACCGGTGGGTTTGACCTTGCCAAAACATGACTGTGTATTGTTTTTTCCTGTAAATAAGATGCAACTAAAGAAGAACCATCCTGTGGTGTCCTTGTTTATATATAAATATATATTTGTATATATCAAGAACCTAATTAAAATAACTTAATGTTGTATATATAAAGATGTCATGTTTTCCTATTTGTATATGTGTGTACAGAAAGAAAACTGTGGATCTGTTAATAATTTGCATTAAAATTGAAAAATGTCACTAGCATGGCTGTTTTTCTTTAATACTTTTTAAAATATATTAATGAAGTATAACAAACAAGATAAAACATCAATGATAATAAGAAACTACATACATTACCGTGATTAAAATAAACTAAACCGAATGGGAGAAGCAAAAGAACTTAGGAAAAAAGTAAAAAAAAAAAAAGATCTATGGGATAGGAGTATAGAATTAATTCAATCTTGAAACTGATGATTAAATCTGCACTGCGGGAAACGTTTTGCTCCATCATCTCATTTTTGGAATATAACATTTGTCATTAGCACTATTGTGGTTTCAGTTCTTCCATTGGGAAAAAACAAGGCACACAATTTTATAAATGGAGGACTTCCGTGTAACTATCTGTCAGGGAAGGTGTCAGTCTCAAAACAGAATGTTCTGAGTAATCTGGAAGGAGCCCAACTTTGTAATGGACTATGATTTTGGAGAATGAAAAGCAAAAATGGTTCTAGCAGCTCCAGGAGGATTTTTTTAAGCTGAGTAAGCGGTCAACCAAATAGCAAAACAGTTTAAGGGTAAAGTGATGCATTCTAGGCAGATCTCCCCTCTCCCAGCTTTGCATATCCTCTGATGGGGTCACACCTATCTGAAATTAACCAGGAAAAGACTGTGGGGTCATAGGAGGTAGCTCAGGGAGAAAATTGACTCAATGCATAGCAACAATAATAAGGGCAAATTCCATCTTGGGGTCATTAGTTAATGGACCAAAAATAATATTGTAATGCTAAACCGATGGTACATCTGTCTCTGGAGTACTATGTACAGTTCTGGTTGCCACATTGGAAAAGCTATACTAGAGTTGGGAAAAGTGCGAAAGACACAGCCAAAATGATCAGGGGCCTAGAATGCCTTCCATATTTGAAGAACATAGAATATCTGGGACATTTCAGCTTACTTTTGTTTAGAAGAAAAAGCAAGTAGTTAAGGTGTACAAAATCATGTGTGACATGTAGAAGTGGAAAATCACTCTCTCAAATCACTAGGACTAGAGATCACCCAAGGACTTTTAGGACCGACAAATGAAAACATTTGTTAACATGATGCATAATTACCTGTGGAATTTATTACCACAGCATGTTGTGATGGTCATTAACTTGGATTGTTTTAAAACATTATTGGATAAATTCATGGAGGACAGGTATATCAAGGGCTATTATTCTTGAAGATTCAATGTGACCTTAAGATTGGACCAGCTGACAGGAACAATGTTAGGAGAAGGTCATGTTTGTGTCTCCTGCTTGCCAGAACTCCAGAAGTATCTGGTTGGTCACAGTGGAAAACCACATGTTGGACTAGAATGGGCCTTGACCTGATCAGCAGAGCTATTCTTACGTTCTTAGAGGATGGAATATTTGTACACCCATATTTTGTATAATTTTATGCAAACTGCCTCTCAAAATATTTATGCTAAGGAGCAACGTTACAAAAATAAAAAGTGTAATTGATAGACTCCAGGATGCAGAGAGCAACAGAACTACTATACCTGTCCTAAAGATAAATTCCAATGTTGCACAAGAAGAAAGGGCAAGACAGTTATTAGGACTCAAAGTTCAGTCTTTTTCAAGATTTCAACCTTCTTTTTGGTCTCTAAGAGGAAAGGATAATTGTGAGTGACGGAGCACATGTCAAAGAGGACCAGTATTATCTGGTGTACTGGAAAACTACTATTTACTGTTGCTTATTTCAGCCCATTAAGTTGTGTCCCAAGCTACAGAATAAATGTTTTTATCCAAATTTACTAAAAAGTTTTATTCTGATGTTCAGATAATTGTCTCCCAAAATGAGTTATATCAGTTTTAAAAAGGAGTACAAACAAGATTTGTACCAGGCTTACAAACTCAAGAGAAAACCTGAAGAACGGAGGAAGAAGAGAGATGAGGCAATGTTTCCAAGGCCAGAACTGGCATGTAAAATTGGGCAGTGTTGATCTTTGGGTGGTGCTGATCTTCCCTTACTGTGACATTCTTTTCCTTGAGCCCAAGGAGGAGGCCAAGATGTTCTTCTGAGTTCCAGAACAAGGTGTGGTTGGAGGATCTGCCTGTTTCTGCCTCTGTAGCTGCTCCTTCTCAGGCCAAGGGGGCATGCTGGGCTCTCGCTTGGTGTGATGGTAGTGCTGGGAGTCAGTGTGTGCAGGCTTTTGGTAAGCTTCCCCAATTCAGGCACCTTCCACATGCATGGACCAGCTCCCAGAATTCTAAGCCATGGTGGGGCTAACTGGGGAATTCTGGGAGTTGAATCACACGTCTAGAGGGCCTGCAGCCCAGCAAAAACTGTCCTGAAGATCTTCTGTCTAGTGCACAGAATGTGGTTCTCTGCAGAAATATCTTCTTCAGCAACTGGTGCTACATTCTGCTCTGTGTCTTGATTCCTTGGGGTCTAAGCAGAGGTTAAGGGAGGCTGAGAGTTGACAAAGTTGATCTCATTCACTTTTAATACCTTTCGTGTTTTGCCCCTACTTCTGCACCAGTTTGCAAAGATCCATAACCATTTTCTGGGTATTTTTTTGCACACATTCATATTTGTATGTTTTTTCCCCCCTGCAGCTGGCTCTAAGGTGTGCCATTTCTTAGGGGACAATATTGCAATACAGAGAATTTGGGGAGGAACCTTGCATCTCCCTCTAATGCAGGGTTTCTCAACTTTGGCAACTTTAAGACGTGTGGACTTCAACTACCAGAATTCCCCAGCCAGCATGAGATGCAAGGTAATATAGAACCAAGCCTCAAATTCTCTGTATTGCAATGTCATCCCACAGAAATGGCATGGAGCCAGCTGCGTGGGGGGCGGGGGGAATCATACAAATATTAATGTGTGCAAAAAAATACCCAGAAAATGCTGGCTGGGGAATTCTGGGAATTGAAGTTGCCAAGGTTGAGAAACCCTGCTCTAATGTCTCCCACACTTCTATTTTTTGAATATGGATTATAGGGTTAGGTGGTTAGGTGGTTAAGGCACCAGGCTGGAAACTGGGAGACCGGGAGTTCTAGTCCTGTCTTAGGCACAAAGCCAACTGGGTGACCTTGGACCAGTCCCTCCCTCTCTGCCCTAGAAAAGAGGCAAGGGCTAACCACTTCTGAAAAACCTTGAGAAGAAAACTGCCAGGTCAGGAGTCAACACTAACTCAGAGGTACCAGAACAGCAACAAGAACAACAATCCTTATCCACAGCATATGTGCTATATCATTGTACCACAGTATGTCCCTCTCTCTCTAGGATTAAAAAAGATGCTTGTCAGGGGAAAGAGGGCTTGCCTCTTTCCATTCTTACGCCCTCCCCATGCTACACATCATCTTTGGGTAATGGAATGTCTTAATCCAAAGCTCTCATTAATGTGCGGTTGTGTTAATTTAACCCTTCGACTTTACTGCTGCACAGGCCTCCAGAAATCCAACAAAGGTCCCATTCTTTGAGATATTCCCCCTGAAAAGAAAAGCTGGAGAAGAATCTCGTGGCTGAGACTGCAAATTGTGTGCTAGTAACTGGAGAAATGCAAAAGATGAGGAGAAGCTCTAGCCTAACCCAGAAGTGACATTAAGACTCTTTGGCAGCTTTTGACCAAACTGTAGAACAGCCCATCAGACCTAGTTCAACAGTCCCAAGGAGCAGCTTAGATTTATAGTCACCATTTTATGGCGACTGATAGACAGCTCAGTATTTTGGTAGGAGAAGATTAGAAATTGCTTTGAAACAGGACAAGTCATTTGCGTGCTGAACTGAATATAATTAAGTAGAAGAGGCAATTGCTCAAGTTAAGACAGAGACAGCGGATCAGTGGGTGGAATTAAATTAAAACACAGGCAAGTCCTACTCACTGTCTGATGTCTAAGACATGCTGTTGGTACCCTCCATGCATTAAAGCAAGGTCCTAAAAAAAATCCTAATAAATTGCTATCATGCACCAACTCGGGGGGTTATCATATCTGAACAGCTTCTCAGACCTCAGGCCATTTCACTTCATTCTGCCTTGATCTGTGTCTAGTTCTGGCCACCGCACTTCAAGAAAGATTCAGAGAAATTGAAACAGCTTTGAGGAAGAACAATGAAGACAATGAGAGGATGAAAAACTAACCCCAATGAAGTGAGACTGGAAGAGCTGAGCATATTTAGCCTAGAGGAGAGGACTGGGGTGGGATACGATAGCACTCTTCAAATACCAGAAGGAACTTTGCAAGAAGTAAGTCAAGACTTGCTCGTTCTTGTTCCAGATTGCATGGCAAGGAATAAAGGATTTAAACTACAGGAAATGATGTTCCAATTGTTATAAAAAAATTCGTAAGAGCAATTCAACAGTGCAATTAATTTCCCAGAGAAGTGGTAGGAACATCCTTCATTGGATGTCTTCAGGTGGAAGTTAGACAGCTGTGGATGCTTTAAGTTGGTTTCCTGGGATTGGACTCAGTCGCAATGGTTCCTTCCATCTCTATGATTCTATAGTTTGAAGACTGGCATCATGCAATTGCTGCTTGATATATGGCCAACATATAAGCTAGTTTTTAAAAAATGATTGAATAACTTTTATTGCATGGCTGGTGTCAAGTTGGAAGGACTTCTTAAATTTTACCGTTTTTTATTTTCTGCTAATTTTGTAGTAGAATTAGTTATTTTCTGCTAATTATTTATTTTCTGCTAACCATGAAGATGGATACATTTCAATTTTTTAAAAATTTAATATTGGCATTCCTTGGGTGCTGTTTTAAGTGATGCCACAGCCCTTGCTGCTGCTGTGCGGCTGACCTAGGCATCAAGGGTCTGTTTTCTTGATCTTTAATAAGATCTCTAATTTTGGCTTGACGTGAATATTTTGCTTTCCAGAGGCTGGAAAGGACTTTGAAGTCAAGGGCTGTCTCTTCTTTGCAACAACCTTAGCATCTTTCTGGCGCCCATCCAATGCACTTCCCAGGCCAAAAGTTCAAGAAGGAGACATGAGCCTTAATAGACCATAATTCTCAGAGGTGGATGGGAAGATTGCACAAA